TACAGAATCAATATATAATAGACAATTTGTTGTGGAACTAATAACATAGTTAGACAAGAAACTATTTTGTGATAGAAAGTTATATCACTTAGGCTTTTTAGAGAGATAATACAAATAATTAAATGTATATATTTAGGAGTCCCAGGTTTTCTATTTAATTGCTTTGTGAACATGAACAAATAAAAATGTTAAATCTCTTTCTCTTATAATAGGAATAATAAATCTCTCTTAGAGGTTGAATGTGGTTAACTGTATAAGTACTTTAAGTAATTTCATGTAGCAAATCTTCAATAAATGTTGGATATGATCAGCTGAAAAATGAGCATAATCATGGCTAAATCTGAATTTTTAGAATATAAGCCAGGATTTGGACTAAATAAAAAAAAAAAAACTATCTAGCCAGGGAATATTTTTTTTAAATAAATTATTTGAAAAAAGCAATGGGAAATATATTTTTATCTGCTGACAATCTGATTCCATAGTGATAGCAAGGTGCTGTTGGAATAGTGCAGTGTGAAGAAAAACACCCCAGGATATTCATCATTAAACACTTTAGTAATCATCAATGAGTACTTATTAATGATAATGAAAATATTATTTTTTAGTGGAATTCTAAGCTTACTTGTAGGGAGGAATTTTTTTTTTTTAATTCTCTACTGAAGTGTCATAAAAATGTGAAACACCCCTAAGTATCTTAGCACAATTTTGTGTTACTTGTGAAATTGTATGTTTTGTGATATTTGTTCAACCTCTCCCAGGACTGAGAAGACAAACAGATGTTATTCAAAACAGTATTGTGAAAGAAAATAGTGGCCACCGCTTATTTTTAAAATTCTTTTAAGCACAATTACTATTTCAAAAAGATGGAATTATCTAACAGGTTTGTATATGTGCCAATATGTTATTCAAAATAGTAAAATTATATGTCAAGTTTAAAGGTTTTCACTATTTCAAATAACTACAATCACATCTCAAATTGTTCCATTTTCATGGATATCAGAAAAGAACCTTTTAGATCCCTCATCATTTATTGGGAGTCCACCCAAGGATCTCTTTGCCTAAGTTTAACATAAAGACTGTCATAGAAAATAAAAATGCTGCTAAGGTCTTCCAAACTTAAAGACTATGTTATTTTTTATGTCCTCCTTTCTTTTCCTTTTTCTATTCATGCAGATGGACCTTATGGACTACAAGTTAATTCTGATAAAGGCCTAAAGGTTGGGGAAGTGTTTACTGTTGATATTGGAGAAGCCATCTTGTTTGATTGTTCTGCTGATTCTTACCCTCCCAACACTTATTCCTGGATCCAGAGGAGTGACAATACAACATTTATCATTAAGTATGGACCTCGTTTGGAAGTTGCATCTGAGGAAGTGGCTCAAAAGACAACTGATTATATGTGCTGTGCTTACAACAATGTTACTGGAAGGCGAGATGAAACTCGCTTCACAGTCATCATCACTTCTGTAGGTAAGTGTGATATAAAAGGCAGGGATCTCAATGGAACAAAAATGCATGCTGACCTTGCTCTAACCCGCTACTATGCGGAGGAGAAAATTATTGTTCAAATATATACAGTCACATCTCAAATAGTTTGCATTTTCATAGGTACCAGAAACTCTATTTTCTTAACTAATTAGACTAATTTCCTGTGAGTCAAAGAAAGAAAACCCAAAACTAAATGGAGGGGGACTTCAACTGAGGATTATGAAGAAAAAGAGAATTCAATAATAAATTGTGATGAGTTCTTGTTTCCTGATCTTGCAAACAGAAATAAAAGAAAATGGCAGAAAGAAAGAAGCTAAAGGATTATAAAAAGTTGATATTTACTACTGCAGTAAGGTAGATGACTATATCTGTCAGTTAGGACTCTGGTTTTTCTACTACCTGTTTGACTTCCTTTCCCACAGTAATATATGAGCTTCCCTTCCTCTTTCACAATTAGCACCGGAAAGCTGTGAAAGTTCTTAATAAGTTTCTCAACACCTTGGAAACTATAAAACTTTGTTAGTTGAAATTTGACATTCTCTTGATTTTTAAGGGCATCAATATCGAAAAGGTTAGGAATCACTGCTAAAAATGTTAATGCCCACCAATTACATCCTTCTGAGTCTTCTCTCTCAACAGTGTGATTTAGTTCACTTACATGTTTTCAAATAACAATGTGCATATCAAATCTTTATTTTTAAAGCTCTCAAACCATACCCAGTAGCCTTTTGGATTTTTTTATTTGAAGTACCAGAGATAGCATATAAGTCCAGCGTATCAAAACTAAGTTCCTTTCCCACAAAATTGCTCTTCTTTATTGTATTCCCTACTTAAATGAATTACCCTTCTATTCCACTCTGAGTTAGGAAGGTAAAAATAACCCCCGCCCCCCATCCAATCACCAAATTTCTCCAATCTCCTTGCTTCCTGCTTCTCTTTTCTTCTTTATTTTCTTCTTCCTTTCACCCTTTATTTTCTCTCGCCTCCTTTCCCTTCCCTCTCTCCCTTTGGCCCTCCTCTTCTACATTCTCCTCCCTTGTATCTTATTTTCCTTTTGCCTCTTCCTCTTCCATCAAAACTTTCCTGGACTCACCTTTGTTTACATGTAAAATCAAGACAGTTCCTTATGGGAAAAACCTGGGGACAAGATTGGACAGGAAATCACGGTTAGAATGCCTATGATTGTTGAATGAGAAAGTTTGCAAAAGGCACCACCCATTAAGACCTCTATTGATGTTTTCTCTTTCTCTCTATTTGTAGCCTCAGTGTCTAGAATAGGGACCATAACATAGAGTCAATAAGTTTTGTTGATTAAACAAAACAAAATATAATCCCTACAGTTCAGTATAAGACCCTTAGACCTCAGTATAAAATCATCTAGCAAAGTCTAACAAAGTA